GAGGGAGGGAGGGAGGGAGGGAGAGGCGGGGCGAGACAAAGAGACAGAGGGACAGGGTCTTGGAAGCAGGGAGCCTTTGTCTGTAGGTGTATAGGGCAAAGAATAATCCTTCCACGCCGCGTAAGAACCTCATAAGCTTTATATACAGATCGAGGCCCTAAAGTAACCCCAGCATATATACGCATGTAGATATATAAACCTAAATATAAGCATAATCTTGGTCGTCCCGCAAGGACTGTTTTGAAGATTGTGCTCGCGACGTGCGTCGATGCGACATGGTCGTTGGAACAGCCAAGCGGAAGCCTTCTAGAGTTTTACCCGGCCTGGCGATTCATGATGAGGGCTCTGTGCGACAGTCGCGGACCTCACTCTGTAGCTTGTGCAATATACATACACAGTTTCGCTTTATCCTGCAAACCTTTATATGAGTTCTCCAAAGTCCCGAAACAGAACAAAGAAGCCCACTGCCATCCCAGGTGACGAAGGTGAAATTTTGGATGGGGCACTTCGGGTCCAGCACGCCGAAGAGACACTACATGTATTCCAACAGCTTGCAGATTCATCTCTTGAACAAAGGAAAGTTGTCCCTTGCCCGCTACACAAACAACAACAAGACCGCGAAGTACTTTGTTGACAAGAACAACGTGAAGAGGTTTACGGGTACAAAGTACCTTCGTGGAACCGAGCGCCTTGTCCAAGGGTATTTTATAATAGGTTTCCAGCACATGTTCTTTAAGAAAATCCACAGAAAGCCCGTGCTCGTGGTCATCTCGCGAAACCAAGCCCCTTAAATCCTAAAAAGCAAAGAAAGTAAAGATTGTCCTACCCAAGCCCCAAAGTATACAAATTAGGATCCCAAACCCAGAAACCCGTAGGATCCCATCCCAGAAACCCGGAAGCTCAACCCGAAAGCCCCTGCAACAACCTTCCTGTGCTGGCCCGCGAGGCGGTACCCAGTGGCATTCGCAAACGAGATGGTCCGTATCTGCGAGATCCTGAAGGCTTCTCGTTGCGGTTGCCCCACTACACTTGGACAGGTTCCATTCGGGGTGGACACAGTTTCTGCTCTACCGGAATGCATGGATGATTGCTTTGCTTCAGCTGCCTTGATCGAAGTGTATAACTACCTGAGGGGTGGCAAGGATTTGAAAATCCCTGCCAACTGGCGAGCTGTGACACCAGCAGGATTCATGGGTTTCTAGGCATCGTGTGTTTTCTTCAAATTAGGGGCTGTGTCTATATAAGGTCCCGAGGTCCTCTGAGTGCACCAAATTCTAAGGCAATTGTGAGTCTGCTGTTCAATAGTTCGTTGGGATTGGCTTGTGTCGGCCTTCGCCAGATGTTTGGGTCCAGGTTATATAATGAATAAATATAGTTTTCGGAGGCTTCGGTTTTAGGGTTCGAGGAGTCCAGCCTGAGTTTCCAGGATTTGCGGGGTTGCGCGGGGAGGAGTTTCCAGGATTTGCGGGGTTGTGCGGGGAGTTCTGTTTTGTAAGCCTGGATACAAGTTTTGGCGCGCTTTTGTTGATAACTTTGCTGGTCGGTAGCTTTTTGTACAGTTCGGTAGCTTTTTTTACAGACTTTAGCTGTTGGGGACCAGAAGGACAAGGCTGTACCCGTGATTTGGAGCTCAAAACCCCGGGTCCTGACCCCAATAACCCCGGTTACTAGAAAACCCTACCCGTGATTCCACTAGCAAAAACCTAGGTTTAGGTCCCAGATAGGACAACCCCGGGTCCAACCCAAGCCGTGATATACCCGTGTTATATCCATGGTATACCCGTGTTGTAAGCGTGACCGCGTCATGGGTAAACCCCGGGTTTGCAGTATGGTCCTGTAACATACAAAATCATGTCCCTGAACAGAAATTTATGCACCCGAAGTGAAACTTTGGGGGACGCCGAAGTGCGGTTGCAGTGGCCGCCGGTCGCAATTCGAGAGCTGCGGGATTTCCTTTGCAGCCGGCTTAATCGTGCTTGCACAGATCGGAGGGAGGTTGAATAAAAAGTAAATGGGTTCCAAATTGTCGAAGTTGCTGCGTTGCTGTGCAGATTGTCCTACATCGCTTGAGCAGTTACTACACTTATGGTGGGTTTTATGCAGCACTTTTAGTCAAGTGGGCCGCTTCGGTGTGAGCTTCCACTGCTCAGCTATGGCCACTCATGCTGTGTCCAAACTATGGAGCTGTGGGTCCTTCAGAGAAGGGATTGCTCACGTCGCCGGGGCTTCCGGTGAACCTTCTGTACAGGAGATCGAACAGGAACTTGAGGAGCCTGCTTCACTTAAGGTGGGTTTCGGGGTTATACATCTTCATGCTAGGCCGATATCGATGCGTCTGCGAGCTTATATGGGAGGAGCTCGAAGCCGAGCTTCAGAGGGACCGAGTCTGTGCCCTATAACAGACGGATACCTGCTGCACGTTCTTGACACGTGTGTGCGTGGATGGGTTTGCCCTCTTGTATACGTATGCAATCTGAAAACCTATTAATCTAAATAGGTGTCAGCCCCTGCGTTTTCTTCAAGCCCACACATTGTCGCGAATGACAAGCAAGAGAGCACAGCATCTGGTGAGCACGACAACGCCACCCTGCCCGCCATTCATCTGCACAATTTAGATTGGTGTCAGCAGTTCCAAAGCACGGTGGGTTAGGCGGGTTGGGGTTACTAGATAGATCTGCTTGAGGCTACCACGCAAGAGCTGGCAGAAGCGGGGCTGTCATCTTTGCCGGCCACTCCTTCCGATCCGAATCTGATGCCTTCAACTACAGAAGATGCACCCTCTCAAGCTCCTTGCCCAGTAGAAGAAGCAGAGCAAGCACCTCGTCTATAATGTTAGCAGCGAAATAGCACTCCCAACCTGTATGTATACAGCAACGAAGCTCCTGCTTGATTCGGGGAAACTGAGGCCGATGACGATGTGGACAAGGATGAGCTGGACGATGCTGCTTTTCGTGACAATTCTGTTGTGAGCCCCCTGTGATCATCCTTTCTTCAAAATCACGATAGTCTTTATCCAAGGCTTCTCCTGGGGAGATCCTGGCCCTCCTACAGGGAGTTATGTGCATCAAGGATGACCCGTATCAACAGGTGGAGGAAGCAACCCACAGACGGCAGGGAAGAAAGTACCATCGAGACAAGCCCCTCGACAAGTACTTAGCAATCAAGCTACCTACCTACCTACCTACCTACCTACCTACCTACCTACCTACCTACCTACCTCCCTGCCTACCTACCTACCTACCTACCTGCCGAGGAGCGGCTGCTGAGAGCAGCCAAAGCCAGGATTGACAGGATGGTCCAGAGCCACACCAGGAGGAAGGACTTGATGTTCCTCAGTGGCTCAAGGACGAGTGGAAGACCGGTAACAAGACCCAGATAGCCCGCACCCTACAGGACGCCAACTTTGACCGAGTTACTTGTTGGCACCATATAAGGACAAACACCCCAACTAAGTGCTAGCATCCCTATATGAAGCTTTTGAGTGCTTCATTGTTTCATGCACACATCATCCAAACAGAACTCCTTTGAAGATCTGATCTGCTCGGTGGCTCAGGCAAACTTTATCAGCCGCATGGAGATCACGATCAAGCGCAAGAATGAGAAGGAGGTCTTTGTGGACGAGGGTTGGTACAGTAAGCAGGAAATGATGACGGATCTTGGTTGGAGTGAGATCTTCAGCTAAAGCTAGCCATGCGTTCTGCTATGTACCAACATATAGGAATTCACGGCTAGATTCACAGACCTCTATCTGAGGAGTCGTGCGGATGCGGCGGTCGCCCGTTGCACAGCTCTGGGTGCTAAGTACTGCAGGCGCTCAGGGGGTTTGTTTTCAGGGCGGTAGAAACTTGCCTATCGTTTGGCAAACCTTTTTTGCTAGCGAACTAGATTCGTTTGGGTTTGCTCTGACAATGCTCGATAGCAGGCAGTCAATCCCCAGACTCTGCAACACCCAAATCCATCGTTTCAGATCCTCCAGAAGCAATCATACTCGTAAATCCCGGCCCCTATGTAAATGAGATGCCCGAACACGATCCCGAAAGGATCTGAACATTCGGTGTCCGTTGAAATTCATTGAGAATCCCAGTGTTGGATTATGTTGAGCTCAAATCTCTGTCTCGCTGGCGTTCTCCATCTCTCGCGCTCTCTCTCTCTCTCTCTCTCTCTCTCTCTCTCTCTCTCTCTGTGTCTCTCTGTGTCTCTCTGTGTCTCTCTGTGTCTCTCTGTGTCTCTCTGTGTCTCTCTGTGTCT